GTCCCTGGTCTCAAGTTTACAGTCCAGTGGGAATAAGCAAAACAAGGACAGAATATCGTAACTGCCGAAAGATATAAAGTGTTCTGAGGTGGAGGGAGGGGGGCTCCTTCAGATGAGTGCTCCTTAACTCTAAAGAAATAGCATTTAGGCTGAGACGGGGCAGCTGGCAAGGAACCTGACCTCTTCAGAGCAAGGAAGTCTCTGCAGGCAGAGGGAACAGCAGGTGCAAAGTTCCCCAAACAGGAAAGCACTTAGCTTGTGGACAGGGAGGGGTCACTGTGGCAGGGGCATACTGAGTGACAGTGAGAGAGGCGGGAGATGAGTTCAGACTGGAGGGTGGGGCCCTAATGGTGCCTAGCCTCACTGGCCACGGTATGGAGTTTGCATTTTATTCAAGTGCAGGATGCCACATGGTCTGTTATGGGTTGGGCTTTCCAGAAAACAGATTCTGACCTGAGATGGAGGTGGGCAGGCAAGAGGGCTGTTAGAGAGGGCTCTCGGGGTCAATACCCAGGGCCAAAAAAGGAAGACCCGGCAGAAGGAGATGAGCTGCCAGCCAGTCCCAATGGACACTTCCCCTGACCTGGCAGGAAGTTCTGAAGCTGGGATGACCCTTCAGATTTGTCATTAGATGCAGCTGCCTGGGGAAGGGGACATGCCTCTTTGGCCAAGGCAACCCCCTGGGGGGCTGACAGCAGAGGACAGCACACCCAATAGCTGGATCCCAAGTCCATTTCTGAAGGGGGAACTGGTGTGCATATGATCACAACTCACACCCGGTCCAGTTTACATTCCAGGAGGTCCCTCTAGCTGCTGCGTAGACGGTAGATTATTGGAGGTACGAGTGGATCCAGTCAGGCAAGCGATGGTAGTGGCTCGGCCAAGAGCGGTGGCCATGGGAATGAAGAGAGAGGACACATTTGGGAAATGTCGGGAGATAGGATCCTAAGCACTTAGAGATGGGTTAGATATGGAACATGAAGGAAAAGAAGAATCAAGAACTCTGCTCTGTCCCCGCCTCTCTGGCCCGGCGATTGTGCTTTGGAGGACAGTGGCTTCCTAGGAGGTGAGAGGGCACAGAAAGAGCGCCTCTCTGGGGCTCGGACACTGGGAAGGTGCAGGAGGACTAAGCCTCAACAGCGCCACCATGTGGCGGCGAGAAGTCAAGACGGCGGTGGACTCCAGACTTCAGTTCCCAGGCATGGTGAGTAAAGAGATCAGAGCACAGCCTGTTCCCGGGGGAAGCCAGCCCCACCACTGGCTCTTTCAGACTAAATAAATGACTAGAGTTCTGGACAACTTAGAGGTGGGAGGGAGAGGAGGAGGCTGAAAAGAGAGAGAGAGATAGGTGAGGAACAGCATGTACTCAGAAATAAAATGGAATCACTATACTCAAGCTACTAAATTACTAAAATCAAGTAGATGGAGGTATGAGGAAATGATCCTAGCCTGGGAACTTAAACTTTCAAACTTTCCTGTATCAATGCCTGGGTATACATCAAACTTCCAGATAAGCCTCTGGTTCCCCACTGAAGGACTAAGGAAAGAATGTCCACTATCCAGACTACCTGACAGCCAGTACCCAGGCCACTGGCCATTGAGAAGAGTGCCATTTTGGACAAAACCAGAGGCTAAGAATGCGGGATTGATTCGTCTTGCTTTTTTCTTGTACTTTTCACAATGAGAACTCGGCTTTTCTTTCTTTTCCGGATCACTCTGAGTATTGCCTATTGTGCTTACAGTTTGCAAACCCTAAGACCCTTGAATAAATTTTTATTTTTTCTTTCTAGCCAAAGCCTCCTAGTTCATTTACAATCACTTGACATAAGCAATAGAGTCTGAGGAATTATTTAAGAGAGATAAAAGGGTGGTATTGTACTCATGCCATAAAGGTATTGGTCAAGGTGATAATGTTGATGGCTATCATTCGGTGAGCAGATACAAAGGGCTGCATGATCTCAGTTAATCTACACTTATCCCTACAAGGAAGCTGAGGTTCGGAGAGGTGAAAAGATGTGTCCCAGGTCACATAGTAGTAGATGGTGGTCGAGTTAGGATTAAAACCCAAGTCAGTCTACCCATGGATCTCAATTGTATCAGACCCAACACACCATTTTAACAACAAATATTTCATAAGGCCTTCTTCACATCCCTAGCATCTAGATTGTGCCTGACGCATAGCATGCACTCAGTTGATATTTGTCGAATGAAATTAAATTCACAGATAATATCTTCCTACCTACCCGTATAATTTTTAAAATCAAGGAAAAATAAAATGGAAGTAATTTATGCTAAAGAAATCTCCATTTCCCATTGTACATGCTTGGTTGGGATCACACTAGAAGACACAATGAAGTGATCATTATCAATTGGAACTGCTCCAGATATAGACTGATACAAATATGTTGCCTTCAGAGATATGATCTTCTGAAATGGTAAATATATTGCCTTTGTAAGGACCTGAACTCATGCAAGAAGAATTCTTCCCTCGATTTTCACTTTAGTAGCATTCCTGGAAAATACAGTGTATGCCAAAACTGTATGCATAATGTTATGTATTTATATATATAACAGAGTTAGAATTTTTGGCACAGATCATCATAAACAGGTTTTTCCACTTCCATATATGACCCGTGGGACATTAGAGAGTTGTGCAGGACACAGAACAATTCTTGGTAATGTGGGACTGTCCTAAATATTGAAGGATAACTAGCATCTCTGGCCCTTGTCTGCTAAGGACCAGAAGGGCCCCATCAATGTGATAACCAAAAATGTCCCTATGAATTTACAAATCTAAATGTCCAGGGACAGTAGATCCTCTTTTGGGACCTCCCACATATGTTAACGCCCAGCTGCCTAAGCTTTGCTCTGTTGGCCTCCTCTTTCCGGGCCCTTCCCAAAAACCTGGGCTTTTATATCCTCACTTCTTATCTCTCCCTTGAGGAATCTGTCTGCAACTGGTTTTTTTTGTTTTTGTTTTGCTAGAAGGTAAGAACCGATGTGATAAAATGAGGTAGATTCCTCTTCCTGTTTCCATAAAAAGGTACAGAATGGAAAAGCAACTTGCTCATAACCATACAGCCAATTCGAAGTGGCAGAACCAGAATTAGAACCCAGGTAAATCGGTCTGATTCTAAAGCCTGTGATTTTGCCCTCTTTTCTAATCCCTCCTCACTGTCTCTGATCTCCCAGTCCCAGAAAAAGACTTATTTTATCTTGGGTAATGAAGTTTGAAAACTGAAGTTATCTCACTGTTTCCCACAAAGGCCATTGTGAGGCTGACGTGGCTCTCCAGAAATGCTGATCTAGGAAAAGTCTGCTGTCTCTGCTGGAGTCTTAGAAATCCCTTTTTAAAATTCATTCAGCTTCAGACCTTTCAGGAGATGAACCGTGTGAGCATGGGTATGTGGCCTTCCACAGACACGGGTAGGGGTCCCGGGTCAGTGATGGTGGGCATTTCTGAGCTTCTTCTGCCAGGACTGTGAGAGCCATAGTCGCAGGTTTCATCCTTCTAGAAAGTGAAGCTATGCGTCAAACAACAGTTAGGTGACACGATGCCCACTCCAGGGCATGCCAAAGGAGTGATTAATTCATTCAACAAACAGTTATTAAGCAGGTATTAAGTCTGTCAGGCACTGAGGAAACAGCAGTGAGTAGAACAACAAGGTCTCTGCCCTAACAAACTCCTGGCCTAGTGAGAGACGCCCATGGTGAACAGGAAATTGCAGTACAGTGCAAGAGGAAGTTCATGGAGCTAGGCATCCAGGAGTACAGAGGAAGCAGCATGGAGCCTGGCCAGGGCAGTGGAGGCAGGTCAGGGGTGACTTGCTGAGGAAGTGACCTTAAAACTGAGAGCTAAAAGCCATCTGGCTGAGGGAAGAGCAGTGTGAAGGTTCTGAGTTGTACAAGAGCTTGAATTTCTGAGGAGATGCAAATAGCGTGGAGCATCAGTCAGATGCACAGCATGGTATGAGGACCAGGGCTAGACTGGATCTCGAGGGGCCTTAGGAGCCACCTTACGGACCTGGGCTGTCTCTTATAAGAGAGACAAGGGAGCCCCAAGGTGTTTAAACCAAGGAGGGCACAAGCAGAGAGAGATTAGCATAGTGGGAATCCCTCAGGCCCTCCACTCTCAGACTTCAGCTAGGAACTTTGAGCTGGCCCTAGCACTAATTTCCGAGCAGCTGGAAAGTCACTTTTCCTTTCTAGACTTCTGCTGTAGAAAGTCAGGTTTGGACTAGATGATCTTTAATACCGGTTCTTCACATTCTCTAAGCCCAAACTAACCCTCCACCCACTTCTGTGATTTCCCCAATTCCCTTAAACTCTTTCCTGTTTCCTCTCCCCCACTGGAAAATTACTTTTTCTCTCCACTAGACTGAGCTCCAGTAGACAGCACTATGTCTAAACAACTGTCCACGCTTCCTCTCACTGGGCCCTTATAACCGAATGCTTGCATGGTTGCGTTTGACCCTCAAACGGCCTGAGGCACTACCAATCCCGCGAACGTTATCTTCCATTTTGCTGATGAGAAGTGGGGCCTCAAAGAGAAACTGAGCTGTGAACCCAGGCTCTGAGGCCAACTCCCTGGGTTCAAGCCCTGCTCTATCACTTACCAGATGTTTGGTAAGCCAATTACTCTCTCTAAGCCTCTCGTTCCTCCACTATTAAATTGAGATCACATCAACTTCACAGGATTGCTACGACGATTAATGTGTAACATGTAATAAGCATGAAATAAATGTTAGTATTTTTATTCTCAGGCCAGCGTCCTTTCCCTTCCACAAACATCAGCTCCAAGGCCTAAGAGGATTATTCCAAGGCTGGGGCTCGGGCCACGTGCTCCCAGACACGCCTTGCGCAAGCCTGAGCAGGTCCCCGCGTGGCTACCCGACCCCCCCAAGCCGGTGAAGCGGGCGCGCCCACGTGCCTCGCGTAAACATGCGAGTGCGCAGGCGCCCTCGGCCGCCGCCCATTGGTCGGTTCCCCGGTGCTTAGAAGCAGGGGAGGGACGCAGGCCCCTCTGGCCGCGGGCGGCTGCGCCCGGTCGGTTAGTCAGCTGGTCTGCCAGTCCTTGTGACTCGGCCGCCGGCTTCACCCTCGCCATGGCACCCTGGCTGCCCCTGCTGTCGTTGCTGGGGCTGCTCCCGGGCGCTGCCCCCGCCCTGCCCCGCCGAGCCGCGGGCGCTCAGGCCTGGGAGGCCGAGTCGTCGGAGCTGCTGGCGCCTGCCCGCTTCGCCTTGGAGATGTACAACCGCGGCCGGGCTGCTGGGACACGGGCCGCGCTGGGGGCCGTGCGCGGTCGCGTCCGCCGGGTGAGGACGCACTGGGTCCGGGGCGCGGGGCCCTAGTGCGAGGGATGGGCACTTTGGCCTCGAGTTGGGATGGGGACGCTGGACGGCTGGCACGAACCTCTGTTGATTGGGAAGGGGGAGGAGGCGCAGTGGGGCTGTGCGGCCACTGAAGAACTGGCTGCGGAGGGAGTGGCTGTGCGCGCCTCACCCTCCCCTCCATCTAGGAGGGCCGCGGGTCGCTATATTCCCTTCAAGCGACGCTAGAGGAGGCTTGCAACGACCCCACGGTGTGCCAGCTCCCTGTGTCTAAGAAAACTCTGGTGAGTAGTGGGGCTCCCTCAATTATCTGATCGCAGGCTGAGTCTGGAAGCAGTTGGGAAGATGGGTCAAGCCAGAAGGAAGGGATCTAAGGCAACAGCTACCCAGGTCACTTCTCAGGCCCTGAGGGCCAAAGACCATGCTATATAAAAGGGAGAGTGTCCAGGTGCTGGCTGTGCCTCACTCGCCACTGTAGGGGTGACTGCCTTGGGGAGGTCCTATCCGAGAGCCTCCAGCTCCATCTAGCCAAGGACAGGGACTGGTTTCCTCCTTTACCTCCAGCTCTGCAGTTTCCAAGTCCTGGAAGAGCTAGGAAAACACACGCTGCTGAGGCGGGACTGTCGCCCTGTGGATACCAAGATTACAGGTGCTGGGATGGCCCACAGATGCTGCAGTAGTCTGGATCAAATTTCATTCAGGGTTCAGCCTTGATTTCTTTGTTCCAATCCTATCCAGATGAAAAAAGCGGGAATTTCCGTTCCTTCTCTCCACTGTTCAACAAGGACACCCTGCCCGAGGTGAGAAGCCCAGCTCTATCTCGGGAGCTGGCTGCTGCCTCATTTCCCCTCTCTTCCCCTCACCCTGACCTGGGGCTCCCTGGTCAGCTCCAGAAGGACTCCTTGTAAGGACTCCTCTGCCTTTGCAGGACTTTGTTATGCAGGTAGCTTCAATCTTCAAAGAATTTGTCATCACCTATAACCGGACATATGAGACAAAGGAGGGTGAGGACCCAGCCTGGGCTGTACCTGTCCTGATCAGATCAGGGCCTTCCCCCTACTTGGCACCGTGGTGTTGGGGAGGAGAAGGACAGAAGAGACAGTGCATCCTTTCAAGGATGCCTTAATCACCAAGTTCTCGCCCAACCTGCCAGGACCGGGCAGCCATCTCAGGGAGCTGGCCCCTACTCCCATCTGTTTTCCTGGTCAGGAACTATGGGCCTCCATCATGGGATGGGGCAAAGGCCAAATTTTCTCTGCTGGAGGCCCCCTGGCATGGCAGCCTTTCCTCATGACCTCCTGTCTGGAGATTCCCTTTGGAGTTCATTTGGTTCTGCCTTCACAATGAGAAGTCATCACCCCAGTTTGGCCCTAAAAGTTGATCACACCTCCCACTCTTTTCACTTGCAGGTTTGGCCCCCCCACCCCTACCTGCCCCAGGGTTCTGGCCTTAAGAGCTTCCAGAGCCCACCTATTCCCCAGGGAAACTTCTGCCCATTAGCCCCACGCACTCCTCCTTTTATGATCTGCCTGGGGTCCCAGCCCCTTCTCTTCTGCTCTGATCCTCAGAAGCCCAGTGGCGCATGTCTGTCTTTATCAATAACATGATGCGAGCACAGAAGATCCAGGCCCTGGACCGTGGTACAGCTCGGTATGGGGTCACCAAGTTCAGTGACCTCACAGGTAGGGATTGTGGCTAGAGCCCTCAGGGAGGCTGGGAGAGACAGGGCCTGCTCCCAAGGCCCCTGGTCAGGACTGGCTTAGAATCCCCACCCCCCCCATCTCTGCCCACAGAGGAGGAGTTCCGCACCATCTACCTGAATCCCCTCCTGAAAGAGTTGCGGAGCAAGAGGATGCCCCTGGCCATGTCCGTTAGCGGCCCCGCTCCACCTGAGTGGGACTGGAGGAATAAGGGGGCTGTCACCAAAGTCAAGGACCAGGTTAGACCCCTCAGAAGTGAGGGCGGGACGTGAGGATTGCCCTGGGGCTGGGAAGGGATCCAGTCCTCACGCTGCCCGTCTCTTGTAGGGCATGTGTGGCTCCTGCTGGGCCTTCTCAGTTACAGGCAACGTGGAGGGCCAGTGGTTCCTGAAACGGGGGGATCTGCTCTCCCTCTCTGAGCAGGGTAAGCATCTCCCTCTATTTGCCTGTCCCCAGCCCAGTGGGCTCCTCAAAACTGGCCTTCTGTCTCCTAGAGCTCGTGGACTGTGACAAACTGGACAAGGCCTGCCTGGGCGGCTTGCCCTCCAATGCCTACTCGGCCATAAAGACTCTGGGTATGCATTAAGGGGGTCAGGATGGACGGTGGGAGCCACTTCTTCCTCCACAAGAAGTCACTTTGTGTGGGAGTCACGTGTACTGTGTCCGGGTCTTCCCGCTGGCTCTTCTGGCTGAAGACCTTGGGCAGGGCAGCTCTTTCAGAGCCTCAGTTGCCTCATCTGTGAAAGGGGCCTACCTCGTAGGGTTGTCTCGAGTATCAAGAGAGGAAATATGAGGAAATATGTTCCTGGAGCGTAGCAGGAGGTCTTGGTTTTGTGCTGCTTTCTTGTCTGTATTTCTAGAATGCTGCTAAAACAGGTAGCCACACACTCACCCTTGAGGGGAGGCGTTGACGTAAACTGGCAGTTCAGTTAAGCAGTGTCAGAAGGATAAAGGGCTGAGGGACTGAGGCGGCTATACAGAGACTGGTCTGGGAGACTGGCAGGGGGCAGAGGCAGACTGTGAACAGACTCTCAGAGCAGGACAAGCAAGCCAAGGTCAAGAAGCTGGGACAGTGAGGAGTCAGGAGTTGGGAGCTGACTTCTATCTCTGCCACTTTTCTCACTGGTTATTCTCTCAGCCCCCCGAGCCTCATGTGTGTCATCTCTAGAATGAGGCTCTTCTGCAGATGGGATGGCCAATGGCCTGGGATGGATAAGGGGCTTAGCACAGCCTTTGGCTGGGAGGAGACAAGTGTATGGTAAACAGGAGTCCACCTTTTCTCTGTACCCCCATCTACCCCCCACCGTTACCCAGGAGGGCTGGAGACAGAGGACGACTACGGCTACAATGGCCACTTGCAGACCTGCAACTTCTCTGCAGAGAAGGCCAAGGTCTACATTAATGACTCAGTGGAGCTCAGCCAGAATGAGCAAAGTGAGTGAGGGATAGGGGTGAGGACAGGCCAGGTGGGGCTGGGGCCTGGGTGCCCCTGACACTGGCCCTTCCCCGTCTCAGAGCTGGCGGCCTGGCTGGCCAAGAACGGTCCCATCTCCATCGCCATCAATGCCTTTGGCATGCAGGTAAAACCTCAGCCCCGCTGCCCCTGCTCCATTTCTTGCCTACTCCTCTCCCTCTTCTTGGAGTTGGCCCCCTACTGCTTGTTCTCCCCCACCAGTTCTACCGCCATGGGATCTCCCACCCACTGCGGCCCCTCTGCAGCCCTTGGCTCATTGACCATGCCGTGCTACTCGTGGGCTATGGCAACCGTGAGTTCCGCTGACCCCCTCTATGCCCATCCACTCCAGGTCACAGGCAGAGGTCGGGCCACACAGCATTGCAGGACCTCAAGGGGGTGAAATCTGGGGAAAGCCTGGGAACCCTGTCCTTACCCCTGCCTCTGGCTGTGGGCCAGGCAGGATCATCCACCTGCTCTGTGAAGGGAACACAGGCAGTGGGAAGCTGAACTGTGTGGACGAATAACCTGCTAGAGGTCAGGGGGCGGGGAGGGGCGGCTGCCCTTCCCATACCTTAGAGCCATACCAGGTCTCCAGGAGGGTGGTGGGTGGGCCCGTCCTTTTTCTGCCTTTTTCCTAATACCTGTCACACAGTAGGCCCAGAGGAGATACTTGAAGAGTGCAAAGCGCTTGGGGCCCTGACCAGAGAACTGGGGCCCTGACTGCCTGCACTCCGCACTGCTCTCCAGGTTCTGACATTCCCTTCTGGGCCATCAAGAACAGCTGGGGCACTGACTGGGGTGAGGAGGTGAGTCTTGCCTGCTCAGCTTCTGGCCCTCCGGCCCCATCCTGCCCTGGTGCCCTCACGACTTCCCTCCCCTCTCTCCCAGGGATACTACTACTTGCATCGTGGGTCCGGGGCCTGTGGCGTGAACATCATGGCCAGCTCAGCAGTGGTGAATTGAGGAGCACCAGCTTGGACCTGGTGCTGACTAGAGCAGCCCCTTCCCCAGCCTGAGCCGCGTGTCCAGGCCCTTGTCCAGGAGGCGCAGCTGGCTGAGGGATGGACACCGGGTACCTCAGGGTGAGCGAAGGGCACTGGCCTAGGGGCACAGCCTCTACCCTCCTCCACCCCACTCCCACTCTGAAGTTCCCAACTGCACCTTTGTTGAATTGTGGTAGCTAGGATGATCTTGGGGTGAAGGATGACGTCTTGGCAGCTGAAGCTCGGGCAAGAACCTTGGGCTTGGGTAAGGAGTAGGTGGGAAGCAAATATTTTTGCCTTAAATCCAGCTGTCTTCACAAGCCCCAGTTTCCTGCCCTGGCTTTCCTTTGTGCGATGCTATAAATTCTGGTCCTCCTGGATTTGGGGACAGTGTTTCCTTACGTGTCTAGACGAACTGTTGTAACCACCCTTTTCTAATAGCAATAAAGAGGTATCCTGAGCTCCAGTGTGGTGTGAATACTCTGTCTGTGAGGGCAAGGAGGGGTGCTGAGGAACCCTGGAGGGTCAAGGCCAGGCAGCTGGTCCTGCCCAGGAGCCTGCGGGCCCAGTTCCTGCTTCAAGAACCAAAGGAAATGGAGAGAGGCTCACGGAAGGATCTTTATTCAGGAACAGTTGGCTGGTCCTTCTCGGCGGCCCTTGCTCTGAGGGATGGATGGGATCAGCCAGAGGGAACACCCTCTCTCCAACTTGCATGGAGAACCTCAGGTGTTGAGGTCAGAGGTCACTCTCCCCATAGAGGGCACTGGAGAAGGCCACGTAGTCCAGGGCTCCAGCTGGAGCCCCAGACCCCTTGTAGGGCGTCATTCGGTGGATGCAGTATTCGGCCTGCTCAGCCGGGAGCTCCCGCCGCAGCTCCTCGGCGGTGATGTAGTTCTGAGGGAGAAAAGGTGTGAGGTCGTGTGCCCCCTGCCCCAGCCCTCCAGCCCGCTCCATGCCAAGGACTCACTTTGTCTCCCGCCAAGATCTTGAAGGAGGCCACAACTTGTTCAGCCGTATCAGTCTCGGCTGTCTCTCGGGTCATGAAGTCGATGAAGGCCTGGAAGGTCACGACGCCAGTTGCGTTGGGGTCCACCATGGTCATGATTCGAGCAAACTCCACTTCCCCCTGCAGGGATAGAGGCCAGATACCATGTCCGTGGGTGCTAAAGCCAGGAGAGCTCCTGATGTCCCCTTCTGGGGATTGTCCGGCCTCGGCTTGATAACCTCAGCGACAAAGCGCCACCTTTCTCCATAGACCGTCAGCTGCAGCCTTAGCTCTGACTCAGGAAGTCCTCTCTAGCAGGCTGCAGTCTGCTTCCTGCCTGTGGCAATGCCCCGTTTCCCATTGGTGCTGGTCTTTTTTTCTGGGGCTCTCAGTCGTGCTGTTTCTCTGAGGTAAAATGTTGTAAGCTCAGGCTTTGGAGTCACACAGAACTAGGTCTAAATTCCAGCTGTGTGTCCTTGAACAAGTTAATCTACCTCTCTCAGCCTGTGATAGCCCGCGTGAAATGGGATAATTCCGCCCAGCCCCAATGGGTGCAATGAAGAGGAAATGAGATCATGGATGTGAAGGTGGGAGGCACACAGTAGGTGATCCATACACAGAAGAGGGCACTGATGGGACTCTGGGGACGGGGGGAGGGGCTCACCAGGTCATAGCCCATGGAGATGAGACAAGCGCGGAAGTCGTCAGGCTCCATCATCCCATTCCGCTTCTGTAGTGAGTGAGTGACTGTCAGGCTTGGTCCTCAAACCCCATCAGCCCCCAAAGCCCACCATCCCACAAGACCAGGCCCCTGCTGACCCGGTCAAAGTGGTTGAAGGATGCCCGGAACTCGTTGAGCTGCTCTTGGCTTAGGCCCTTAGCGTCTCGGGTCAGTACCTGGTTTTCCACCTCATTGATGGTGCGGGCGATGGAGGTGAGCAGCTGCTCCCAGCCCACGCGGACGTGCTGGGAGAGCAGGAGACAGGCCAAGTCAGTGGGTGGTCAGGGCCCGGCCACGAGCTCTAGCCCTTCCCCAGTCCGCTGTGAGACCCTGGGCAAGTCTTCCCCTCTCTGGGCCTCGGTGCCTATTTGGAGTTTCTTCTGAGCGACCTCCAGTGGCCCTTCCTACCTTAAAGTTTGATGATTTATTATGTGTTATGTATTGGTCAACCAGCCATGGCCAGTCCTGGCCTGGCTTTAGACTGCTATATGACTCTGGGAAAGGGCACTTTCTCTTGCTGAGTCTCAGTATCCCCAGGGGTACATTGGGGGACCTGGCCAAGCCGAACTGGGGACCTTCCTGGGACAGATGTGCTATGTCTGGCTGTGGCCACCCCAGGCTTCCCCAGCCAGCGCTGCCTCCGCTCTTCTCAGCAGGTGTGATCCCACCTCCATGCTGTAGACGGTGTGCTTGTTGTCAAACACCAGGCTCTCCTGCAGCAGCTGGTGGTCGCCCTCCAGCCGGTCAATGTTGTTCTTGTAGTTGATGATGTTCTGCTCCTGCTGCCGCAGCCCAGCCATCTGCTCCTCCAGAGAGCCAGTCATCCCTGCTGCCAGGCGCCCCACCTCCTGCAGTGGGATCCGGGCAAAATGAACACTCCCAGCTCCCAGGGGTCCAGTCCCAGCCCCACCATCCAAGCCTCACCTCCATCTTCCCCTGGATCCAGGGCCCGATGACATTGGCCTGAGCTGCAAACTGTCGCCGGAGCCTCTCGTTCACCTGCTGCCGTGCCAGCTCCTCCTGCAGCATCTGGTCACGTCTGGGCACCAGCTTTCGGACCTGGGAAGGAGGGTGGTTATGCCAGGGACAGCTCTGGGGACCAGGAGATGGCTTTGAAGGGAAATGGACTCTAGCCCCTCCAACAGCTCCTGCTGCTCTAAGCAGGCTCTTGGTCAGGTCACTCAATGTCTCTAGGCTTGTTTCCTCATCTGTAAATGGGGGGACAACGTCATTTATAACTAACTCGTGTTGTTTTGTAAAGGATGCCCACACACCAGATTTCGTTTTACTTTACATCAGGCCTGACAGGAAAATATTGCTGCTATATCTTCTTTACAGATGAGGCCGACAGGCAAGGTGACTTTGTCCAATGCCACATGGAGCCTGTAGCAGACCCCAGGTTCTTATCTTGGGACACCTGAGGTTTCAGGGTGGTTAGAGTGCTCAAGAGCAGGTGGGAGGCAGGGAGAGGCCCCGGGTGGCACTGACCGTGTCCCACTTGGTGTTGATGTCCTGCGCACTGAGGCTGATGTAGGGGTTGGTGGAGCTGGGCCGCAGCCCATATGTTTGGCAGATCTTCTGGATCTCACCCTGGATGCCCAGGATAGCGCCCCGCTCCCGGTCAGCCTCAGGCAACGTTGCCTTGAACTGCTCATGCGCTGTCAGTAGGCTCTGTGGGCAACAGGCAGGAAGCATCAGCTAGCACCCACCACTTCCCACAGGTGATAGAAAGGGCAGCAGTGTATTCCAGGTCATCCAGCAGGTCCAGGGTAGGCTGGCTTCAGGACCCAGTCCTGTCTCCCAGCCCAGCACTCAAGAACTGGGGTTTTCCTCTCATCTCCATTCCCCAAGAGCCCAAAGGAGTGGCTGATGGGATCTTAGGCCAGCTTCCCCGCCATCCCATGCAGGCCCTGCCCCAAAGCCCCACGCCCACCTGGGTCTCCTCCATGGAGTGCACCAGCCACACGTCCTGCAAGTCCTCTACGGCGCCGTCCAACCAGTTGTTGAAGGGTGCTGCCCGCCGTGCAAACTCCAGCTGCAGCTGGTCGATGGTCTCCAGAAGCTTCTCCATCCGCTAGGGAACGCAGGAATGATGGTCAAGTCAGCATCCTGCCCAACGGGCTGCCTCACCTGCCTCCTTGTCCAGCCCACAGCTCCCTGGCACAGAACCTCACCTCAAGCGCATCCCTCCTCTTCTGGGTCAGCGTGCCCAAGTTGTCCCACTGGTCGCAGATGGCCTGGCAGCGGCTGTTCACTGAGGCTGCCTCGTGGTAATCCAGCTCACTGGGAACAAGAAGAAGGGGTGACTGTGGGGTCAGACGCCAGCCCAGATTTACTCCTGACCCGCAACCTCGGTAGTGGTGAAGGTATAATGCAGCCAGGAAAAGTGGGGGTGAAGCAGGGCTTCCCTGAGGTGGGGTCCCAGGGCAGTCCTGGGGGAAGAGGGGCGCCCTATGGTCTCAGATCCAGCCCCTCAAGGAGCTTGAACGGAGGGGTGGGGCCTGGGGCTTCAGGGGCGGGGTTATGCGAAAAGAGGCGGGTTTACTGGAGGACGTGACGAGGACAAGGCTGATGGAGAGGATTCAGGGTAGCAGACCTGGGCCCCAAGCTGAAGGGAACAGGCAGGCCACGGAGATGGGGCAAGCGAGTGCCAGTGGGGAAAAGTGTGGGCAGCAGAGCAGGGTCCGGGCATGGGGACAGGGATACGGGAGGAGGGGCAGAGCAAGTGGTAATGGGGAAGGACAAGGGCACCAAGGCAGAGTTACCGAACAGGGGAGAACGAAGGGTCTGAGGGCAATGAGGATCAGGGCGGGGCCGTGTAGCGAGGGGTGTGGTCGCCAGGGCGGGCCACGCCTACTTGAGCTCCTGGGCCAGCGCGGCAATGTGCTCCACGCGGTCCTGGTGTGCCGCTAGGTCGCTCTCAAAGGCTTCGTGGCGCCGCAGCAATGCCCGCACCTCCTGTAGCGAGGCCGACTCATAGTCGCGCTGGTTCAGCATCTCTTCCTTCCCTGCTCGAGAGAGGCCCAGCTCAAGTCACCCATTGGCGGCCGCGACAGGAGCACAGCGTTGAACAGGGCTGTGTGACCGCGGAGATTCTTCATCTGTGAGCACATCAGCCTAGCCTACCCTAAGGGTTTGCTCCGAGGCACCGGTCTGGTAAAGTTAAATGAAGCTCCTGTTCTAGGGCACGACCCATAAATGACGTCAGCGTCCCCTGACCCTGCGTGGTGCGGGGCGGCTCTTGGTACACTTTGGCATTATTTGATCCAGAATTACCTCCTCAAAACTCTGAGCCTGATGAGCCCCTGACAGGGTTTCCTTTGCCTGGCACTTGGTAGACCCTCTATGAATATTTGTTGGATGAATGAATAATGAATGTAAAAGTGCTTTAAGAATGACAATTCCCATAATTATGAAAATAAAAACGAAATCATAATAACTGCACCTGCAACCATTGAGTGAGTGCCTCTGTATTTTGCAGAGAAGGTAACTGAGATTTAGAGGTTCAGAGATCACAGGGTCACGTAAGTGGCCTTAAAGGAATTCTTATTATATCAAACCATTGTTATTTGTTATGCCAGGGGTCCCCAATCCCTGGGCTGCAGACCAATACCAGTCTGTGGCCTGTTAGGGACCAGGTCACATAGTAAGGAGATGAGTGCAGGCAAAGCTTCATCTATATTTGCAGCCGCTCCCCAGCGCTAGCATCACCGCCTCAGCTCCGCCTCAGATCATCAGGCGTTAGATTCTCATAGGATCC